TGAAAAGTTTGAAAACTTTCAAAGGTAACGCGAATGCCTACAATACAGTATCAACTTGTTTGAAACAAAACAATAAAATACCAACCCAACTGCGTATTTTTACTTAAGCGGAAGTGAGTCAACGTTGATTCGGTCCCCCCCCCCCCACACACAAACACAAACACAGTTGACGCTGCAGGTCGGCGTCCTTTCTTCACCGATGTCTGTGCTGGAACAGCGCTTCCTGTGACGACACCCCCCCCCCCCCTCGCGTGTATCATATTACTAAGCAACGAAACTCGTCTATTGTGAGCTGGTGCTCCTGTTTTGCACTGAAACTATTTTAAACTACATGAGTTTAGCAACTGGATTATTACATCATGATGGTGCTAATGAACTTTTCTTGTCTTGGGGTAGATAATTCTTGGTTTGCCAATCAGAATACACCTTTACGAACTTGAAGCACACTTTTTGCATGATGACCATTTTATTGTTGTTATGCCTAACTTATATGTACATTGGTTTCTGAGAAAACCAATGTACAATATATCGAAACGAAAACCGTTTTGACATAATTGATTTAAAGTATATGATCTCATGTATAAATGTCGACTTGCATTTGTTTCTACTCGCTCTACTTGAACGTTAGCTGCCAAATCAAAGGTCCGAATATCGCACGCGTTTTTATCGCTGTGTCGTAAATCATAGTTGAATTAGGACCGAATCTTGGACAGTTATCATTTGATATCGTGACATGTTTAGTAAAAAAAATACAAAGTCAAGTCTCAAGTTGTTCCTTGCTGTGATGTAAGCAAAAACGCGAATATGGTGACGTAGCTGATACGTAAAAGCGAGCATAATTTCGTCTGTTGAAACTCTCGATAATAAACATTTTTTGAGAACATTTTTGATTCCAAATTTTGTTTTAAATGCCACGTCGCCAGTTGAAATAAATACGTATATCTGTGTTAAAAGTAGGTTGACCTTGACATGTTTTAATGCGTGACGTATTATGCACACAGTGCGACCATTCACTGCAATAAATTTAAACCGTTCCACTGAATATTAATATACTTGATCGAAAGTGAAAATATGGGGAAAACTTCTTTAATTCCTTCCACATATATATTGAAAGGGGAGTATTATTTCGATTTCTAGAGGGTGCCAATCCGGGGGTGCCATAACATTTTCTGACAAACTATAGTAGTTAAAAGGTCATGCTGCCATTGTGTAGGAAAGTCAAGTGGGTGAAATTTTTCGGTGGGTGACATAATTTTCAGGATTCTAAGAATTGAATTCAATTAACTAATTGTGCCAAAATAAACTGAGCATGAAAAGCGATCCATAAATTTATCTTTGAACATTGTAATATTCCTAGAAACGTTCTTAGCGGCGTCTTTATGCATTCAACCTTTGGACATTGCGTGGGGGTGTTCGAATTAAAAATTGTACGCCTGTGTTAAAATTATAATTTACTGTGTATAACTGCAGAACACTCTATGATAAAAATATTTATTATTTAAATAATATTTCACGCAATTTAGTCCCTCGAAATCTGATTGAAAGAAATATCGTGAAACCCGGGTCAACCGACCACAGGCATAATCTGCAACGTGATTCATAACAGGGCGAGTCAATATTAACGCACGTGTATTCTGTACACTATTTTTTTTACAATTCCAACATCCCTGGCGACAATGATTATGTCCAGCTCATTGCTGTTACGATTGATAGTAACAGAGTGAAAACAAACACCACACAGAATGTTCCTAAGAGTATATTTCATGGGCAATTAAAATTGGTTTTCATAATCAGTTTCTTTCGGCACCCACTGCAATCAGCATTAAAGAATTTTTCTCCGTTCTTGTATATTTTATGAAATAATCACATTTCGCAAACGTTTCGGAATATACATGTGTAGATATCCCGGTTAACTCTAATCTATTATCTAATGGCATATTTGAAGACATCTGAATCGGGACTAGTAATTCCCAATGAGATATATGGCTGTGTACATAGTTTGATTGTGTATGGCGTTGCGTACAATATCGTGTGTCTAGTGATATTGCCAAGTGATATTATCACGCAAACATAAAAATGTATTCAGATATATTTCAATTATTTATCTGCTTCTAAGGACTTGCACAAATTTGTTTATACATACTATATCAAACACTCTGCTGTTCTTGACACTTTTCAGACATTTTCGCGTAATTTACTCAAACATTTAAATGTTAAGCTTGTCATTGTTTTTGTTTGTCCTTGTATTAATAACAAATGAGAACGGAATACTTTTATCCGTTTTGTATTTATATTTTGAGTTTTCGTTCATGTCCGAATAAATAATATTAATATACCGTTTTGTGGGTAAACAAAAGGGAATTTGATAATGATAGGTGATACTTTAAATTGCTCAAGGGATTTCAAGATCCAACTGTGTGGCACACCATCAGAAGCCTTGCGGTAGTCAATCCAAGCCATACTCAAGTTGCAGTGTTTGGATGTACAATTTTCTAGGATCATCTTATTGATCAACAACTGATCTTTACAACCGTATGAATCTTTTCCCACATCCTTTCTGCTCTATAGGGAACAGGTTGTTGTTCTCAAGGAATTCGTATAAGCGATCTGTTAAGATTATTGTGAGCATTTTATATGTGGTGCTAAGACATGTAATAGGATCATTGACCACCTCTTCTATATGGTCGACCTCAAGTTATTTGCTAAAAATTACGAAGATTTAGAAGGACTGCTGCAAACTGTGAAACGGTTTAGTGATGACATTGGAATGTCAGTTGCATTAGATAAATGTGCTATAAAAGAGGAAAGTCTGTCCACTCCACTAACGTTAATCTTGGTAATGATAATCATATACGTAACACCGAGCAGAATGAGGTCTATAAATACCTTGGAGTCAATGAAGGCAAAGGTATACAACACGCCGCTGTGAAAGAAAGGGTCAAGAAGGAATTCTACAAACGAGTAAGGCAAGTGCTAAAAACAGAGTTGAATTCTGCAAACAGAATCGAGGCGATTAACATCCTTGCTGTACCAGTGGTTACGGACAGCTTCAACATCATTAACTGAAATCTACTAGATATCAAGAAATGGATACTAAAGTCCGGAAACTGTTCACCATGAACAGAATGCATCATCCAAAATCAGACGTTGACAGGCTATACATCTCTCGAAAAGATGAAGGAGGGGACTTATCCAAACTTGAGCTTACTTACAAAACCACAACAACGGGGCAAGACCGGATGCTACAACTTGTAAATTCTCATGAAACTGGCAAAAGAGCACATTCCATAAAGAAAGAGAGTAGAAAGTTGATACAAGAGCTCAACATTGAAACAAATGCTGATGATGATATTTCGTGTACCAAAAAGGCAAAGAAAGTAAAACTGG